GCTCACCTATACTCTCTGCATATATATATGAAAAATAAATATGTGTTATTATAATACATTGTTTTGTTATGGGTACGGGTGGAACCTATGTACATACATTCACACACATATACAAGCTTATGTTTTATACAGAAATACATAAATATCTACCATAATATTCAAATATTTACTGAAATGTACGTCCTGGAACATTTTGAATTTCCCGCTTCTTGCGACGTTGCCGTTGCGTTTTTGTCGAACTATTATTTAATTTTTTTATTCATAAACTAATCAGACGATCGTCGCGAAACTTTGTGTACATATAGTTAATAACATTATCTGTGACATATAAAAAAAATTGGAGACATTCATCACGCCAATTTTTTTAAAACTGAGTTTTTATAAGTTTCCGCGACCGTGTTAAAATGACTGAACTTTGAAATGCAATATCTCGGAAACGAAACAGACGAACCTCTTGGAATTTTAAGTTCAGTCCTTTTTAAGGTAAATTCATTGTAACAACAATAAGAACGTCTGGTTGAAATTTCAAAAAGATTCATCACAGGGTTCCATCTCTACCGAACGTCCTTAACGCTGGGCCGTCGGTGCTCGTGCTCGGTGCCCATGCATGCACTGCGGAAGTTCTCTCGCGCTCCTCCTCCCATGACTATACTGCTACTACCAACTGAACCAACCTCCACGCGCGTCCACGCGCACATGCGATCGATCTGCGGTAAAACAAAGCTAAAGCTCCCTCCACGGGGATAGAACTTCGGAGATTGGAACAGAAACGATTGCATGCACTTTCGATTCCCTTGATTATAATCGTCGTTACCTAGTGTGTGCCCCTCTCTCCCCCTTTCTTCTCATCTAGCACATCCTCCATTTGGCGTCTCGCTCAATTTTGCCTCTCGACTTTATTCAACGTTAACAAACCCGACAACGGCGTGATACTGCAACCGATGATAATTAAATGGACGAGTCACGCGATGCACATTAATAATCAACACTGAGCCAACAGCTTTCAAGCCCCCCCCCCCCGGAACTAACAACTCTCGAAATAAAGTTTTTCCAATTCGTTTGCATCGAGATGACCGGTGAAAAAAAAGTGACCACCGTTTGTACATGAATCTATAGCCGTCAGCAATTTAACATTCAGTCTCATCATTTGCCACAGCCAAGATCTCGTTCTCATCTTTAAAACTCCGCATGCACAACTATAGCATAGACTGCTGGAAGAAATGGAGACTCAAAGTTTTTTCTGATCACATCAAGACGTGTGAATATTGGCGTAAAAATTAACGCGTTACATACATTTATGTCACTCATTTCACGTTTACCCATGTAGAGCCCAAAATCGTGACCCCCCCCCCATCCNGGGGGGGGGGGAGGGTACAGAGAAGTGAACAGCTCGGTAAAATAAATTCGGCTCGCTCGTTCACTGTAAGGTATGAGATCAATCTTTCGGTTTCTTTGCAATTTGAATGCGGATCTACAGCATTTGAGAAAAGAAAAAAAAAAAATTTTACCAATGAGACAATGAGATGTTTCCAAACTCTCTATTTTTTTTTTTCAACACGTGTTTGTCACGAATAATTGTTGATTGTAAATGCTTCACGCGTCATAAGTACCATTTTTTTCAAAGTCTTATGGGGAAATAAAATATGAATCATCTTCGCTACTGTTGTTTGATATTCGGTATTTACGCCACCGTGAGTATTTGTTCAAAGCCAATGTTTGTGCAAAATCTCATTGTGACGAAGTTTGGCCAAATTGAAGAATCTGTTTGCAGTCAAACTAGTGTGCCTACAGCCAAACCATTAGCTGTGATTACAAGTCGACCTCCTGGCCCCATCCCTGATTTTCTTTTGTATTTCTGCTAGCAGTAGGTATACTAATTGTTTCTAACAGAGGAGACAGGCACCCTTCATCTATCCATACTGATGCGCATTCGTATGGATAAAAATAGAAAAACGCGTTTGTTTGTTTGTTCGTACGTGGATTCGTGTGGATATTGCGATTTGATGGAATTGGACCGATCAGCCTGCTGGGATATCGCTATTCGATGGTTCAATATCAAGCCCAAATCTGACGCGGAGCGAGTCTGTCACGCCCCATTGCAATAGTCATGGCAGGGATTTTACTCATAGGTAATGATCGTCACATTTCTGGTTTGCAGAGCGAAAGATCTCGCTCCATTTGTCCAAGCGCTCGATCCATCTCTTGGAAACGTTGCCTCCACCGCCCGTCGCTAATCGGTTTTAGTTGTCAGTTTACGTGCTACTAAACAACCCGATGATAATGATGATGATGATGATGATGACGATGGCGATGAAAATTTTTGATAATGATACGCCATGCAGACTATCATAAATTTAATGCAACGACTTGGAAAAGAATAGTAATAATCTTAAAGTAAAAAAGACAAAAAATAGTGTTAAATATTTTCAAGTATTGACATAATAATTTATGGAATACCAACTTGAAAGAATTGAAATAAATGTTAAAACATTTTAGTACGTCTTTTGAAAGTTGCCATATCTAATTATACCTTTTGCTCTAGTAAAAATTGTTTATTCGTTTAGATAGTGATGCATACATTTGAATAGGATAATAATAATAACAAAATACCAAAGATAATATACCTACACGTGGACACATGGGTGACAGGAATTTTTAAAACGAGACGCATCACGATCGCAGGTATGATTGCAAAAGTGCAAATTATAAGTGTTGAATAAAAAACAGTGTCATACGTTGATGTGTGCCTACTATGAACAGCAAAAAAAGAAAGACGGGTATACGAGTAGCTTTGTGTTACGCAAATACTGACTGCTCTGCTGGCTGGCGAAGCAGTGAAAGGTGTTGCTGGGTTGAGCTGTACTAACCCAAACTGCTGAGACAGCTTTTTTGCAAGCTGTCAGTGGGACTAGATCGTGTGGCGATAGCTATCCGCCACCCTGATTTTGAAGACAAGCTCTTCGTTGCGTTTGACCGTAGCTGGGATAACAAAAAAAAATATAATTACGACATGTCAGTGTTAAAATTATTATTGGTATTATTTTTGTTTTTCCACGGGAAACATCGAGGGAAACATAGTGTCCAATTTGAAAATTAAAGTGTTTCTCTCATGCTTATTTTAACTTTTATATGTGTATTGGCCCTCGTATGACAAAGTAAAACGCTTTATTAAGAGTTACTTAAAATTACAAATCAATAATGACAATAATAACAATAATAATTGCAGTAGCTCTCGCTCGTGTGGACATAAAATCGTTCTATAAGCCTAAATACACGTGCATTAGTTTCATTGTATACTCGCCGTCATCCCGTTTAAAAAGAGGGGGAAAAAAAAGAAAACTAAAAAGTATGATCCCGGGAAAACGACTACGCGCACACTGCACTAGAAATCTCGCCTCCACCACTGCCACTGCGTATTATATACACGTGTATGTACTACTTATATGCGGTGTTAGTCCGACTCCGGCTGAAAATTCGAGAGAGAGAGAGAGAGACGCGAGATGGTAGAAATAGAGGAGGAGTGTTACTACCGTATTTTCATCCACCACCACCTCCTCCTCCTCCTCCTTGTCCTGTTCTTCTAGTTTCCCTGTGCTGTGTCATATAGAGGCCCCGGGCGGCCGGGGACTGCCCAGCACCTGATGGTCGTCGCGCAGGTCGTCCTATTCCATATGATAAACAGTTTAGCAGCACCTCGTTGTCGAATACTCGTGGGGCGACTTCTTGTCCGCTCGTCACGCCGTCGTCGTCGGATCGTTCGTGTTGTATCGGGTAGTCTTTGGACGCCAGCTGCTGGTGCCACTCGCGGATCCGCGGCAGTTGACCCGGGGTTCTGCAGCGCGAGCTCCTATTTCGCCCCCCCCAGCGGCTACGCGTTTTCAACAGCCGTCGGAGCAGCAGCTGTGACGGTACAGCCGACGCGAAGAGGAGCTTTTGCGCCCGGCTGGTGGCATTATTGCGACTACTCGCGCCGACGTATGCTGCCCTCCTCTTTTCTCTCGGGCGTCGCGACGCTCTCGCGGACATGCGCCGTAGGTTTGACAGACAGCACCAAGCGGCGGCGGTAACAATTTTGTGTTCCACCTTTTTTGATTGACTAACGTCGCCGATGAGAGCCCCACTGGCTCGCGCCACCTGATATTCTTTTGGCTAATGAGTAGGTAATTTACACCTGGACTTTCCGAGGAAGTGCAAATTTTGCAGCCGAAAAAAGGGGAGGGGAAATTGATTTACGCGGACAGAAACATTCTTGACTGATTTATTCATTTAGTTATTGCGGCCGCCGCAATGCTCGAAAATCAATCGAGTGATTTTCTTCATTTATTTA